AGGCCCACCTCTGATGCTCGCCTTCAAGATTTCTCGAGGGCTGCACTGTTCCTGTGGAACTCACTTCCCTCCTCTGTTAGATGCTCACCCAGTCTCCACTCCTTCAAAAAATCGTTAAAAACCCACTTCTTCATAAAAACGTATCAATTAAACTGTTAATAGCTACTGACTGATACCTCTTCTGCAACTGTCACTTGTCTAATACTATCCTTACTTTTTTGTGTCATTTTACCCTACTCCCTCTAGCATGTAAGCTCATTGAGTAGGGACCTCAACCCCTCTGTTCCTGTGTGTCCAACTTGTCTGGTTACAACTACATGTCTGTTCGTCCACCCATTGTAAAGCGCTGTGGAATTTGATGGCTCTATATAAATATCATAATAGTAATAATAATAACAAGACTGGAATGGGGCAAAACAAAAAAGAAGCAAAGGCTAATGTGTCCAAACTTTCACTTGATGAACTTCTTCAGTTTGAGGAATTGGAAAAAACTGAAGAAGAAAATGCATGTGCTGGTAGAGGACCTCCTATTCTAATTCCTTCTGAACCTAAAATCACAAATGAGTCAAGCACCTCACAAAGGCAACAAACTGATAGACGCTCTTTTGTTCACGAGCATATTTCCCACATGATTATGGAAACCTTTAGTAACTTACTGTCCAAACATCCTGATTTTCAAAGTTATAGCAGTTCTCTTGCTGGTTTTGTCATTGAAAAAGGTGGCCAACATTGGGAAGTGCTATAGGTACAGGAGAGTTTAACTATGGGCAGCGTGTTTAAAATGATGGAAGGATTCTACATGACTAATGTTACGGTTGCCTCCAGGCTGGCTGGAAGTTGGACCGTAGAAAGGATGCTCCTAGCGCTCACCAAAGGACCATCAGCACCGTAGACACCATAAACAATGCAGACTCCACGAACCGCCGCTGCTGGGCTGGGATCATCGCTGTCTGCTATCCCCCATGGACCTATGACCAGGCTTCAGGTTACAGTGGGTGAACCTCTTCCTTCTGTAGAGCGAAGCAGGATCAGGAACAAGAGCTCTTACAAGAACTCAGTAGCTAAGGGAGTATGCAGAGCATAGCAATCCCTGTAGTGATTATAGCTGTCCCCTACAAACACGAGTCGAGGCCGCGAGTTAGAGGGTCAAGTAGTTCTCTTTTAATCAACCACAAAGGGCCTTCTTTTATACGGCTATGTTTCACTGAGGGTTAATCCAGCCTCTGGTGGCTGTTTCATTGACAGCCGCTAGAGGAGTTTCCGCGATTCCCACTGTGAAAATCACAGTGAGAAGACACTGAACGTCCATAGGAAAGCATTGAGTAATGCTTTCCTATGGGCGGTTTAAATGCGCGCGCCTCTTGCCGCGCATGTGCATTCGGAGCTGAGAGGCGGAGGGATCCCCAGCGCCAAGGGAGTCCGGTGCTGGAGAAAGGTAAATGCTGAAGACACATACACTCTCACGAACAGACGCATACACACTAGCTAACAGACACACACATTTACTGACAGAGACACACTCAGCGACAGACATACATACACACTCACTTACAAAACATACACTTTCACTGACAAACACACACTCACTAACAGACATAAAACACACTCAGTAACAGACACACACAGTAACACACTCACTGACACTCACTAGCAGACACACACCCAATAACAGACGCACTCACTGACACTCACTAGCAGACACACACCCAATAACACACACTCACTGACACTCACTAGCAGACACACACACACTAACACAAACACACTAACACACACACTAACACACACACTAACACACACACTAACACACACTTACACTAACACATACACACATTTGTTTAAAAAGTTAATCCCCCCAGCCTCCCTACCTTTTGGAGAGCTGAAGGGATTCCCTAGGGTCCTGTGGTGCTGCTGGGCTCCTGGGCGGGCGGCCGCGCGAGGGAGCACTCTCCCTGGCTGAGTGCTTCCTCTTCCTCTTCAAAGTGTCCATAGGAAAGCATTTCTCAATGCTTTCCTATGGACGCTCTGCGCGATGGAGACAGCAATGAAGACAGCCACTAGAGGTTGGATTAACCCCAAATGTAAACATAGCAGTTTCTCTGAAACTGTTATGTTTACATGTGAAGGGTTAAAACCTGAGGGACCTGGCACCCAGACCACTTCATTGAGCTGAAGTGGTCTGGATGACTATAGTGTCCCTTTAAATAATTCATATATTTTCTTCTGTTTCCTTTTTTTCTTTTTCATTAAAGTTAAATCAACATTGTTTTTATCTGGAGATGTGTTTTTCATGGTCCCAAGACTAGTAAATAAGAACTAGCACATCGTATTCTGCAGCTACATATTTCCTGATAATAAATATAAAGGGACATTTAGACTGGAAGCATTGTTTCAATCCGAGGTGGGGATTATTCCACCAACGCTGTGTAAATAGAGCAGTATATTCTGCTCTATGCTTGTGAGTATATTTTATATATATATATATTTTATTACTCATTTTTTACATATTGAGAGCACTATTGCTGTTTTTATATATCCTGGAACACTGAAAAAAATCAGACCGGATTGACGGACGCACCTCTCCACTGTATCCTTTAGCGGGGATTATACCGCTAGACGCCCTCCACTACAGAGCTGGTTAGAGCTCTCATAAATGTTAGTTTATTATCTTCTTTTTACTCATTTTACCATTAGACTATATCACACTATCGGCTGCTTGTTGTGTTTTCCCTTTGTCTCTCCACATATACGGATATTTTAACCATCCGGACGGATCAACTCATGAGAATTGCACCCCTACCTTATCCTGATATATTAGTGAGAGTTTTATATGACTTTTTATATGACTTTTATCTGAATATTTTATTATCCGGACGGATCAACTCCTGAGAATCTCACCCTTTTTTATCTGTTATCTTACAAGACATTTTACTATCTTTTACCAGGCCTACTTGTTGTTTTATCTCTATTTAGACCAATTGGTCTGTTTTTCTTTGTTATAGACTACTGTTACTAGCTCTGTGCACAGCCCTTAGTCCCTTCACATCTTTTACCTTGTTTTTATTAGGGTCTTGAGGGATTCCCTATTTTTGGGTTGCTGCCCCTTATTCTGTTACTTAGCGCTGATTTCCCCACCCTGTTTTTAGGAAGTGACTTGTGTTCACTTCATCCTTCCTCCCAGCACTGCGGCTTCTCACATACCAGGGGGCCTGGCAGTGCTGTTAAGGACAGTGGTGTCTGACCAGGCCCCTGATCAAAGATGGCCATTGGGTAGCCGGAAGTGCATGGGCCAACTGATGGGCCCCCTGCCCCTAGCCCTCTGAAGTTAGCTCCCCCCTCAGAGCTCCTCTAAGAGGTCAGATTTGCACTGACCTGAGAACCAATTGAACATGGTTGAACACTTTTTCAGGTTGATTCCACAGATTGTGTGTTACTGCAGTGGCTGATAATAATTGGCGACACCATAGGCAAGTGATGATGCTAAAAAGGCAGCTGGCACAGGGACTTCCGGACATTGGAGCGAGCTTTGCCCTAGTGCCATAGGGTTCAAGGACCTGAGAGAATCATGCACTCAGTGGCAGTCCAGGTTGTGGGAAGAAACATATACTGCCTACCCACTGCCTGTGCCAACCTGGTTTGGGACACTGATGCAGCCACCTGGTAGTGGGGGTCATGTACAGAGTGACAGAAGAGACAGGGAGAGGGGCCTCTCCCAAGTGACAGCTGATAGTCCCACAGGCCACACAGTTTACTGCTGAGCTCACATACCAGCTCTGGAAGCATAGTAGGATTAACCCTCTACCAAACTCATCCTACCACCCCAAGACTAATTTTTACTGAATGGTTTAACAGGACCTTGTAGCAGGTGCTGAGAACCTTTGTAATTGCTTTCAGGGACTGAAAGTGATTCCTGCCACATGTGCTCTTTGCCTATAGAGAGGTGCCAAAGGAAGCCATAGGATTTTCATGCTCTGAGCTACTGTGTAGGCATTGTATGATTGGACCCTTGGATCTCATAAGGGGACAATGGGAAAGAAGGGACTCCCATCATACCATATTTATTGAAGTTGCGAGACTGCTTAGAGTAGCTGATATAGATTTTCAGTGAGAAACTTCAGACTGCCCAAAGTTACCAAAAGGTTTGAAATGATAGAAGAGCAAGGGTTTGCAGTTTCAAAGTAGGGCAGAAGGTCCTGATACTGAAAACCACCAGGCAGAAAAAGATAAAGGCACACAATACAACAGGAAGTCAGCGCTAATTAACAGAGAATATGTGAATGGGCAGCAACCCAAATGAAAGAAACCCCTCAGATCCTTCAACAAATAGAGAAAGCAATACGAAAAAGATTGAGTAGGGCTGCGCCAGCAGAAAATAGAATAAAATAAAGTAAAATAGTTCCAAAAATCTCACTAGAGCAGCAATAGATAGTCAGGGATACTTGATAAAATGTAGATGAGTAGATTCTTCAGTGAAGGTAGGTGCATCAGAATGTCTCAGGATGTTTGTTCGTTATATGGAAGACAGAGAGACAGAGGCAACCAATAGTGCAATGAGTCTAAAATACAAAGTGCAAAAAAAAATAGAATGAGGTAGAAAACTCACATTTAAAAGAGCTATGGCCACCTCTGGTGTGAAGGGCGTACAGCGGTATAATCCCCGCTTATGGGATATATGAAGAAAGTGTGTCTAGCAGCACCATCTGGTCATCCGAGGCTCCAAACAGGAATAGAAAAGGCAACAATAGTGCTCTCCATTATGATAAAAAAAATATGGGTAAAAAATAAATAAAATGATACTCACAAGCATCGAGCAGAAGCACTGCTCTATTGGTAAAGTGTTGGTGGTATGATCCCCACTTCTGATTTCTTTCAGTACAGGAATGATAAAAAGTCAGGAAAAGTAAAAATAATAAAAGTGCATAAAAATACAATAATAAGAAGATTTGGCACAGCAAAGTAACCAAAAGACTTTTATTGATCTAAAATACACAACTAAAAATAACCATAACGCATTTCACCGATATAGGCTTTCTCAAGTTGTATACCAACTTTACACCATTTGAGAAAGCCTATATCGGTGAAACGAGTTATGGTTATTTTAAGTTATGTATGCAGCACCATGAGTGGTGGGTGCGGGCTAAATGTAAAAGTAACCCCCCACCCACCAAGGTGACTAGGGGTCCCCAAGCCCCCCTAGTCACCCTCCCATCAAATAAAATTCCTTCCTACCCCCCTCACCCTAAAAATAGTGAGGGTGAATAAAAAGCTAAATACCTGTAAATAAAAAAAACATTTACCAAAAAACTTACCAAACCTGCTTTTTTCAATCCCAAAAAAGCCAAATAAAAATCCATAATTCCCTTCAAACTTGTAAAATAAATGTAAAAATACCAGAGCGCAAAAGAAAAAAAAACTCGTTGAACAAAAAAATCCAGACGCTAAAAAAATAATCTAACTTCACCCAGCGAGGTCACCACGCAGATTGAGGTTTTTTTTTCAAAGTTCAACAGGAATTATTGCTTTTTATTTGGCCTTTTTAGGGGGCTAAAAAAAAGAAGACATCTAATGGCAAGTATACTTTTTTTTATTATTTTTATGATGAGGAGGTAGGTAAGGTTTCATTTTATTGGGGACAGGGGTGACTAATGGACTCCTAGTCCCTTGTGGGGGGTATGTTGATCTTTTTTATGGAATATTATCAATAAAGGAACTTTATTTATTGTAACGGTACCTCCAGGCATAAAAGGGTTAAACTGCCGTTTAGAAGATCTTCCCCTTCCTCAGATATAGGCACAGCTACTGCAGAACACCAAACTCCCGAACCGCATGTAAGGGAATGCTCCAAACTCCCGAACTGCATACAAAATAGCACTCCAAATTCCCGAACTGGAACCTCACGAATAGCTGCTAGCAGACGAATAGGAAAAGCACCCAAGCAGCTTACACTCCTAGCAATCAGTCTCTATCAGTATACAGTAAATCCCCCCCAAGAACGAGGCAAGGCTCCGTGTTGACGGTCAAGCAGTGGTCTGGTTTAATGAGGGCTACCTGCCCATTATTTATGCAGGTCTCCCACCTGGTGGACACTCCCCTAGGGGACCAGATGGAAGACTGTGACAAAGACATCGTAGCAACCAATCACAGGGTACACACTTAGCCATTCCCCTTTTCTTACCCAGAACCCTCTGCTCTGCTCAGGGAGATAATTGTGGAGTAATTCAATTATCTCTCAGGACAGAGCCTAAACGCCATTTTAGATGAAAATAACAAAAGACATAAAAATACATAACTGGTACATTTTATAACATTTTACAGGCATTCAACATGTCCCCAGATAGCTAGGATCTGAGTGCACCAAAGTACCGAATAGCGCTCAGATCCTATGCACACAGTCTAATCGCCGTGGATCCAAAGTGTTCACAAAGTCAGTTTTCATACGAATGAGCTCCACGGGATTCCTATCTGGGGTATGGTGTATTCAGGTACAAACTACCGAATATAGGCCGTTCGTGCACTTCTACTGAACAAGAAGGGAGGTCGGCGGCTTCAGCGGTGTTCGCGCCAAAATGTATCCGTTTTCATTTCTATGAGTTGGGCGTCGAACACCGCTGTGCGTTTGCGTGTTTAAAATGGCCGCAACCTCGTGTTCGGTATACGAATGGTCCAGTCATTCGTGCGTTAGTTCTGTAGATTGAATCTACCGACCGCCGGGCAGAAAGGCATGAATAAGCCTTTTCTGCAGGGGAAAAGAAGTCTTTTAACATGGGGCCATAATCCAAAGGCATCAGGTGAGCAACCAGGCTTATGCAATGTGGCGAGATTGGTCTCGTCACATTTATCTTCAAAGATCGTGAATGCAAGCTGTTATTTTACATTGTTATATTGTGGCTATGGCTATACATGCACCCGGCATTTGACAAAGGTGATCAGTCTGAGTGCAAGGACTCAAGAGGACATACATACATATATATATATATATCCTGGCCATATCCATGGAAGCACAACAATGGGTAGCTCCTCCCTATCCCTAAATAGACAGGAACTAATTAAAATAAATGTATAAGTGTCCTATCCCTATAGAACATGTGTTTTTTTCCTTGGAACTATTATTTTTTGTTTATGGCTTACCTGGAGATTGGTTCTCCTGGCCCCTTGGAAATTCAGCCTCTCTCCCTTGGGAAGTCTTCAGTTACACAGCCCTGCACAAAGGTGACCCCCTGGAGAGTACCCCTTTAGTGACCGGGGGTCTGGTACTTGCTGTAACCCAAGGGGTAGCAAGCTGTTATGCCTGGTTCCCTGCTGCTGCAGTGACCCTAGGGGTAGCAATGGGCAGGTGAATATGGACCTGGACGTGTACATTGCTGATCTGTACTTCTCCCTGTTTCTGACCTCCCTCTGCCTTTTCTGCCATCCTTCTGAAGGGGTAAGTCCCTGTGGTTTCTTTCATGTTCAACTTGGCATTCATTTTTTCAATACACATGCGTTCGTATGGTTTGCTGATTGGTTTTCTGTCCGTTCGTGATTTTAGCCGTTCGCCTGAAATTTTAGCTGTTCATATGAATTTTAGCTGTTCGCATGAACGTTAGTTTGTTCACAAGATTTGCTCGTTTGTCTGTTCGTTCATCTGTCTGTTCGCCTGTTCGTTCACCTGTTCGTTCGTCTGATTCACACAGGTGCTCTGTGTGTGACGTCAGATGCCTATTTAACAGCCCCCTGGTTCACACACTTGTGGGAATCGTTCTGGCGAATGCTGCATTGCTTCCTCCTATCTCCTGCTGGATTTTCGTTTTGTCTACTTTTCATTAAGGTAAATGTATTTTTATTTTTTAAAGGGGTATCCTTCAATTTGTTCTGAATTTCAATTTTAGATTCTTTCTTGAATTTGGTTCTGCAGATGGATATGGAAGTCTCACATTTCTCGGATTCTGATTCTTCCCCACCTCACAAAAGGTCACAACCTAAGTCTTGTTTTCGGGTTTGTTTTATCTGGTACTTAAAAGGGTGTGGATCACTGATACACTGCTCTGTCTCTATTTCTGCAGTTCTAAGGGGACTAGAGCTTCAGTGTCATCCAAAGGGAAGTCGCCTAAAAGGATACAATGTGAATCCTGTGATAACATAGCCGTGGAGGGGAAACGTCTCTGTTTTTATTGCCTATCTGTGGCTGCAGGCCCATCTCAAATGCAGTCCTTCATCCAACCTGCACCTGACATAATGCAGTATATTTCACAAGCAGTCGCTCTGGGCATTCTGGAAGCTGGGAAGTCCCACAAGCGACCAAGGTGTTTGGAACCTTTGGAGTGTTCTCCAGACATCTCTGATGTGGAGTGTATGACAATGGAATTCCTGAGAGATCTGGGTTCTTCTTCTGAGGATGAGGTGCTTCCAGCTCCAGATTTCCTGGAACCTGCTGAAATTGAACATTTGATATCCAGGGTAAGCAAGACTCTCTGTTTGAAGGAATCTTCTAAGGATGAGCCTTCCACATCCAGTCGCCACTTATAGTCCATGAGACTATAAAAGATCTCATCAAGGAGGAATGGTCCAGATCGGATGGAAAATCCTCTGCAAAAGGAAGATTTTCCAGACTGTATCCTTTTGAGGACGCTGACACTGAAGCGAGGGATTCCGCTCCCAAGGTGGATGCGGCCGTGGTTAGATTGGCCAAACGTACCACTTTGCCTGTTGATGATGCGGGTTCCTTCAAAGACCCTATGGACAGAAAGATGGACTTCAGTCTTTCCAAAGCATATGTGGTTCAGGTACTGGCCTGCACCCAGCAGTGGCCTTTATGTCAATATCCAGGGCGCTTAAGGTTTGGATGGAGAATTTGGAGGACGATACTAAGAACGGCAGTGTAGCTTTACTTACCTTATCCAGGGGCCGGCCGCGGTCCTCTATTCGAGCCGCGCGCGGCTCATCCGATGGCTTCAATAGGAAGGTGGGCAGTGACCGCGAGAAACGGTCACGTGTCCCGCCTGAATCTAAGAGCGCCCCGCGAGTCTCGGGCGAGCTCTTAAAGAAACAGTGGGAGCCTATATTGTCAAAAGGCTCCCATTGGCCCCTGTCATGCCACACTCTCCATACACTTACCTTTTGGGGGTGTGGATATGACAGGAGCCAATCACATTAGTTTAGAAGCTATTTAAACTTACCTCTCCCTTTACTCCCTGCCCTATCATGGTTTCTGTTTCAGTTCCCTTTAGCGCTTGTTGTGTTCAGTTGTGTTTCTTCGTATTGACTTTGGCTTTGTTTCTGACTACGTTTTCTCTTTATCCTTATCTGTTCTGGTTGCCGGCTTGCTGTTTACTGTGTACCAGACCCCGGCTAGTCCTAGTTTACGCTGTCTCTCTGTGCCCTTGACTTCGGATCGTTCCTGACTCTGTCTCCTCTCATATACGTCGAGTCCGGCCATTCTAAGGTCCGGTAGACATATCTCTCCTCTGTGTTGTCTTCTGTTTAGCTGGATCCCACGTGTTGGGGTATATTCTCGTTACAGGCAGGAGCTATCCCTCCATACTGGACAACCTGAAGGATCTGAAATTGCCTGTTGACTTCTCATCTGCGGTGGATCTGGTGAGGTCCTTAGCCAGAAATATGGCTCTTTCAGTCTTGGCCAGGATCATGGTCTGCTGATGCCTCCTCCAAAGGCAGCTTGTGCTCCCTTCCTTTTCTTGGCGACATGTTATTCAGCAAGAATCTGGATGTTTGTATTAAATGAGCAGCCAAAGGTAAAAAGGCCTTTATGCCTCAAGACAACAGGCCCAAAGGTTCCTATCGTGCAAAAAGGGACTATTATCCATTTCGTGATAGCAGATCTTACAGACCGGGTAAGGAATATGGGAGAAATCAATCCTGGAAGAGCGGTCAACATGGTGCTAGAGGCGGCAAGTCCTGAGGTTCCGCACCCTCCAAGAACCCCAGGAATCTGTGACGGGTTCATCTCCCTGTCACGCGGTGTTGGAGCTCGGCTGCTCCAATTCCATGTGGTATGGGAGGAATCCGTAAGAGACAACTGGGTTCTGGATATCATCATAAGGGGATATATTCTAAACTTTTGCAAACACCCTCCTTCCGTTCCTTCCAAATCACAAA